TTTGCTGTTTGCTTTGTCTTTAAGTAGAAAAATTGAGGGGTTGTTCTGTATAAAATATAAAAATACAAATAATATGCTTAACCTAAAAAGCATGAGGGAGTTGATTTTACAAGCAAGAATAAAAAAGAATGCTCTTGCACGGTTGTGTTTTTGGCTTGTGAAGCCGTTATATGTTTCAGAAATCACATACGGTTATCACAGATTATTGGTCATAGTTTGACATGAAATGGGAGTATGGCTGAAACAAGATGAATTTTCATTCAAGATCAATGTTCTGTTAGTTAGGACATGACAAAATAAAATTAAAATAGTTCAAGCTATGTGTCATCATAACATTTCTCCTTTTTTGTCCTTTGTCTTTCCTGGTTGAAGCATTTTGATATACTAAGCAAATGACAGAAACTGAAAGTAACATAGAATTAGAGCTTTATATTTGCAAATAAGATGTGAAATGTAAAAGAAATATTGGTGTAGGTCGGTTTGAAGATTTATAGGGTGAGAGTAACTCGAGAGTCTCACATCTTCTAGTCTTGCTTAGCAATATTTAAGAAAACCACAATATAAGGGGCATTTTAGACTCCTATTTTGTAGGTCTCATTTTGGATGAGACTGGATCAAGATCCTAAAGTAACATAAATGAATAAATCATAATAATTTATATATCAAATATGTGAATCTAGTTTAGGAAAGCTGCATACTCCTCATTTGACAAACTGAAGTTATTACCATTTGTCTCCTCTGATTTAGTGTTTGTTATGTGTATATTTAATATATATATTTCCAATGCTACTTTCACAGTATACAAAATTAAAGGCCAAAAATACAGTAGGGAGAAAATATTCTTCAATGTTTTTTGTCAGATGAGTAAAATAGGAAGGGAGGCTTAGCATCTAAGCTACTGATGAGACATCTTGATGACAAGCAATGAAACAGCAGCCTAACAAATCAAGTTTAGCTATGCTGAGGCACTGGAAAGGCGGTGTTTTCCTTGTCTGGGCCCAGTTTTCCGGGAATCTGCATGATTCTGTGTTAGATTTGGGGGTAGCTTTACATACTCTTTGTATATAAATGAGAAAGTTATTGAATTTTCAATAGCAGTTTCAGACAAAAACAAACGGAATATGAAAAAGCTGGAGAAGTCTATCCAGTAGCTGAACAGGCCTTGATTTCATGGTGTGCTAATAGAGGAATTGCTCCAGGGATAAATAAATGGACTTTAGCCCTGAGAAATGTTATTTTCTTTAATGATAAGAACAGTAAAGAGATCAACTAAAACTCAATATTTACTTTGTGTTGCAGTAGGCAAGTTTTCTCTGAAACTTGTCCTGCATCTGTAAAGCTCTGTGTATGTCTCTGATTTTGCAGAAATAGGAATGGATCAGTTTGCGTTGATGATAAGTGGAGACAGGATTCAAGAACGGTTCTGCCCATGGACACATTGATCACAAAGAGGTTGCAGTTTTCAGCCCTTCGGCTCAACAAGAGCAACAGTCTGCTCCTTAATCACAAACTTACATTACAACCTCACATTCCTATTCTGTCTCCGAAAGGCAAATATCTTCTTACAAAACAGCCCGATACCCCCTCTCACACGCTCAGTGATTCCTAGCAACAACCGAGTGCAGTAGCAATTCACAGCAGTGACAATGTAGAGCACATAAGTGGGTATGTGCGAGGTCCTGGGGCATTTTGCACTTGCAAACTCACTCTGCAATCATCAGTACCTTTCAAATATTGCTTTTCTATCTGCGTTAGCAGAAGCGAGCTCGGTACCATTCGCATACAAATCAGTGGCAGTTCCAGATGTTTCGCAGAAGACATTTATAGCCCCATGTGGACCATTAAAGTTATTTTTAACCTTTGGGAGAGGCACCCTGGCATAGAGTTCACAGCAGTACTAGTGTACACACAGATGAAGGGGCACAATTTGAAGACAGTAGGAAACAAAATCTGCTTTATTCTCTAAGACACAGGGGATCAACTACTTTTGTTAACGCTGTGATTCTTTCCTAAATTGCTATTATTTAGTCTTTGAAAATTATGGGCCTCTGCTGGTACCTGCAGCTGTTAACCAACCCACTGGATCTAGGGCTTTGAAGTGCAAAGGTTGCTGGCAGCCAAATGTCAGCTGCCTGGAAGCTTCCCATGCAGAAGGATTTAGGAGCACCCCTGACTGTCAGGAAGTTTTTATTTCAGTGGGAAGGCCTTTCAAGGAAAAAATGTGCTTCTGTTTCATCTGTGGAAAAACCCCCAGCCGGTGCAGAACTTCTCACTCCCATCTCTGCTCTCATGCAAGAGAGTTTAAGCATTGAATCATGGACAATTAACACAACCACATAACCTTGGGTGGTAATTTTTTCTCCCAGATGAAAAATGAACGCAATTCTATCTTCCAAGTAATTTTTTAGGGAAGGAAAGGTAGAAAGTTCACTCTCTAGATTTTATTTGTATTTTCAATGTGAATATTAAGGCAAAAAATTCTAGGGTGAGGTGGCTTTAAACCTACTTGAGTAACCATCAGAAGGTCACTGTCTGGTAGTGGCAATGTTAGGTACTCTTCTGTCCTTATTTCTGGCTGAGAAAAGCTGACTTGAGGAGAAATTTGGGTCTTCTTTGAGCTCCGTAATTGCATTGAACACACAGCATCTTACAACTGGACATCCTGAGTGCTAACCCAATGCAAGTTGCTACCTGTCAGAAATTAAAAATGCGTTTTCCATGGGTTAGCTCAAAAGATTTTTCCATTCATTAAAATTTAATCCCTCACTGTTAAATGTAGTACTATACAGAGTAACTGTGTACAGTTACAGACCATGTGAGTTAACACTTGTTCCTTCCACTGTTCTTCAGAGCAGACACAATGATTATTAATTAAAATTTTAAATATCAGAGCAATGCACGCAGTGTAAGAACACACAAATGACTTCACAGATAAATATGGTCTCAGCAGCAGATGCAGTTTTTCCAAGATGACACTATGACCAAGGAGATTTCCATCACAGGGGCCGTCTTTACAGTACAGTTTCTCCATCCATGTTTTCCTTGCCCTTTTTCTGGCTGCCTCCACCGATGTGTAAAAATAGGACGTCTCTTTCCC